ACTCGGGGAACAGCGCACGATGATGATGGCGACGGCGCGAGTCTAGGCCTGGCCGTCCTGCGTCTGCCGTCAGACAGTGTCTTGAATCCTCCTGCCCTGCTCTTGCTGCCTCCGACTGTGACGAGCTGGCCGTGCTTGCTTTTGCGTATCCCACCTACTAGCGCCCGCGGATCCTGCCAAGCCCAGGTGCCCGCGGCGGGACCGTCTTCTTATGCGAAACTTCTACTAGCAGCAATTGCATGTTCAAACTACGACCTTTGTTTGCCAGACCCTCGCGAATCGCCTGGAACACATACAAGCCACCCACGCCAAACTACTTTGCCAACTTCTCTGCAAACTACGCCCGCACCATGGCCGAAAGCCCCACCAAGAAGCTCAAGACTGACGTGCCTGTCATTGGTACGCACAATGGCCACTTCCACGCCGACGAGGCCCTTGCCGTCTCCATGCTGAAGGAGTTACCCACCTACCGCGACGCTCAGCTCATCCGCACCCGCGACCCCGCCGTTCTCGCCGAATGCCACACCGTCGTCGACGTAGGCGGCGAGTACGAGGACGACAAGAAGCGCTATGATCACCACCAGCGCGGCTTCGAGGTCGTCTTCCCCGGCCACACCACCAAGCTCTCCTCCGCCGGTCTTGTCTACATGCACTACGGAAAGGACATCATCACCGCTGTGACTGGTCTGGAAGGCGCCGACCGTGACCTCCTGTACGAGAAGATTTACACGGACTTCATCGAGGCCTTTGACGCCAACGACAACGGCATCAACGTTCTTGCGCCCAAGGACCTAGAGAAGGCGGGGCTGGAGAAGAAGTTTGAGGACCGCGGCTTCAGCATCGCCAGCGTAGTAAACCGCTACAACTATGGCAACAAGTCGCCGACTGCAGACGAGACCAAGACCCCAGAGGCCAAGCAGGCCGATGAGGACTTCCGCTTCACCAACGCATCTCGCTTCGTAGGCGAGCAGTTCCGCTGGGAACTCCTCGACCGCGCCCGGTCGTGGCTCCCCGCTCGTCACCAGGTCAAGCAGGCCTACGACGCGCGTCTTCAGTACGATCCCCAGGGACGCATCCTAGTCCTCCCCGAAGGCATGCCGTGGGCCGACCACCTCTACAACTTCGAGAAGGAGGCACAACAGCCACAAGGCGTTGCCCCTCAGGTTCTTTACGTCCTCTTCCCCGAAGACAAGCCCGAGGGCAAGTGGCGCATCCGTGCCGTCAGCAAGGAGAACGGTGGCTTCGAGAACCGCAAGGACCTGCCCGATGCGTGGAAGGGTGTGCGCGACGAGCAGCTCGACCAGGTCTCTGGTATCCCGGGCTGTGTCTTTGTACACGCCGCTGGTTTCATCGGAGGAAACAAGACGTTCGACGGTGCGCTCGCAATGGCGAAGAAGGCATTGGAGTTGTAGATGGTTATGATGGAGTGAGACGAAACATTGGGTTGAGCGTCTCCCGCGAAGCAACGAAAGTTGCTTACACTTTGCATATGCATGGTTGGCGTTCTGGCGCTTTCATACAAAAGTTATGATACCAACGATACACTTGGTTAGATGAATCATGAAAATACATGATCAGCCGTCGAAAGACGACAATGGCTTGCTCTCTTCTTGCAATATGTTTTGTGTATGTCTGGATTGCAGCCTTAGGGCCTTCACTCGTTTGTATTGGGGTTATCACAATGCTTGCTCATTGTAGCAAACTTAGAAGATGAAGAAATCATTCTGAATTCTATCCGTCATTGATGTGTGATACCATCGTCCACGCACTGGAGACACGCATAACCGAGGACCTCACGCCCACTAGAGACGTCGTGGATCACTGTCCCAAGCCAATAACCGCCTTGCGCACACGACAGCCGGAAGACCCTGATTCTTAGCTTGTTGCGCGAGCCAAATGCGCAGCTAGATCTTCAGTGCAAGCTTCAGGTACTCCACGCCCTGCGTCAAGTCTAGAAGAAGTCCACCAACGAGACCCGGCCAATTCGGGTCGAGACGTCATACGGGGAGAGTCGGGATGACTGGGCCAGACGCCGCTGAGGATGGCACACGACTCGTACCCGCGGCTGTCAGCGTCTCGGCTGTGATTGGCTGGAAAAGTGGAAAGGCGGCTGTCCGTGGCGAAGATTTTGTAGATCCGCAAGACGTGAGGTCGGATAGAAGGCTCTCGTACACTCGTTTCACATTGCTTTCTTACCAACGAACCAGAACATCGCGACTTTCTTGCTTTTTGATTGTTTGACAACGCATCTGTGTCTAACTCCTCACACCGCACTTTAATCGGCACGACTTTGCGGAGAAACAAGAAACAAAGATACAGGGCACGAGCGGTGAAAAGCGTTGAGCACTTCCCGCTTTCCCCGACGATCGTTTATCGCCAGCGCACGGCCTGCTTTTCGGCCTTTGCCCACCCGTCTCCAAACCTTTTGCACCCTTCACAGTTCACAATCCACCTAAACTCCACACCACAGCTATCACAGCTCATCAATACATACCATCGGATTCTCGGGTCCGAATCACTGCGAACACGTCACATCGAAGCGACAACGAACATTACCCGACCCACACGACAGCGCACACGACCACACGATGAAGTACTTCCAGCAGACAGTCGACTTCGACTACACATGGGAGGAGGTCTCGACGAGCAACTGGCGCAAATACGGTCCCTGGAACGAGAAGACACCCCATGTCATCGCCGTCGACACATTAAGCCGCTCCGTCGACCCAGCCACAGGAATTGTAAGTGACTCCTTCTTTCACATGTCAATTTGGCGCGCCCCACCAGCCTCACCGAGCAGAAAACTAACACACCTCAGCTCCGCACCGAACGTCTCATCACATGCCAACAGTCGACACCCAAATGGATACAAACCATACTCGGCGGCCAGGACACCTCCATGGTCTACGAGACCTCCTACGTCGACCCCGTCGCCAAGAAGCTCACCCTCTGCTCCATGAACATGACATGGTCCGACCTGCTCAACGTGCGCGAGACCTGCATCTACCACCCCGTCGCCTCATCACCCGATAAGACCGCCTTCACCCAGCGCGCCGAGATCACCGCGCTGTGCGGTGGCTGGCAGAAAATCAAGAACAGCATCGAGCAGTTCACTGTTGAGCGCTTCCAGCAAAACGCTGCTAAGGGCAAGGAGGGCTTCGAGATGGTGCTTGAGCGCGCGCGCCAGGTATTCCAGGAGCAAAGAGAGATTCTCGCGCTGCAACAAGCGCAGCAGGACAGCCGGATCCTTCGCCAGGCCAAGATATAAGGATGAAGAACAACAATCCGCAACATCTCGAGTTGACAGTCCGACTCGCAAGCGCTGCGAATTTTCCGTCCAACATCACCACACGGTCTTTCGGTCCACTCCGCTCGATCATTTCCCATCCATCTCGACTCTTCCATTTCAACACCATTCAAGCGTTCTTCATACCTGGGTGGGATCCTTCCTTTTTTACTGCAAAAAGTGCACTTCAACGGCGTTATCAAAAGCATGGGAGAGGCGCAGATACCCTTTTCACTGCATACTAGACGCCATTATGCATTACATACACGATAGAGACGAACCCATATACAAAGAAGCATTATTAGATATTTGGAGTAGTCAAATGAAAGATTATCATCGAGATTGGCTTGTTGCTGGTGTGGATATCGACGTGCGAGATGAGTTTGGGTCGACCATTCAACCAAAGTGAAGATGCCGTCACTACTGTGGTCGAAGGGTAGGTGATGGCATCTACTTGTAATACATCACGCACACTATCCAAACGGCAAAAAGACTCTCCTTTCAACTCGCGTTTATCCCCTCCATCAACTTCAATACCCTCATCCCCAATCCCATTTCTGTCCTCATCCCCATCCTCAACTACCACAAACAGCAACAACCATGGAACACCGCCCCCTCAAGCGCCGCCGCCGCCGCACCTCCAGCATCAACGATCACGACCAACCAAGCCGAAAATGCGTCAGGTCGATGTTGAACGAACTGCAACGAACGGCCGAAGAAGTCAGATGCGCGCTTAATGCTGCTACCTGTTTGTCTGTGGAGGAACGGATGCGTGGTGCGCTGATTATTGATCATGTGGAGATGATGTCGAGGATGATGGAGAGGGATTATGGGGTTGGGGATGGGGATGAGGAGATGGGAGAGGATGACGAGGAGGAGTATGAAGAGATGGAAGAGGATGAGGATGAGGAGATGGAAGAGGACGGGGACGGAAACGAAGACAACGCTGGGGGTGATGTCGAAAATGTCGCGGTTGACGAACCCGAGCTTCCAGTTATCAAGGGTATGCGTGGATTTGTAGAGGAGAAAGATGAGAATGAAGGGAGTGGTGGAAAGGAGGGTGGTGATGAAGATGAAAATGGATATGGTGATGGAGAGAAAGAAGACGAAGATCCTTGGTCGCCTTGGATTAAGAGGGGAGTGAGCTTTTCAGCGGGTGCAATATGTACGGCATGCACGGAGAGTGAGGGTGGCTGAAATTGTTTCCATTGCAACGTCGCGACACATGAGAGATTTAGTGTATGGATGGTTTAAGATGGGTTGAGATGGGTTGATCACGTGGGTGTAGGGCCGGGCATAGAGATCGCGAGACGGTCATGTGTTCAACGAACAACGTTTGCGTATTATGTTCTTTTGAATGAAAGACTCTTGATAACCTTACTTTGTTGCGGGATAAAGCTACGTGCGGAATTAGCCATATCGCAGAAGAGATGTTCAAGGGGAATCATGAAAGGGTCTGTGTGTTGGTCCCGAACGCGCAACAGGAAGGCACGATCTGTATCCGCGCTACACGAACTTGTCTTCATGGCATGGACTGTGATGTATAAGAGGAGCAATGAAACAATCACCTTATGTCTCGACAAGGTTCAAGATCCATACGGCGGATACCCCGCAAAAGCAGCTGTTCTCCTTGTCGCGTCCATGCCCAAACTACCTAGGCACGTCATTTCGGACCGTCTCGCGACGCGTAATTTCTCGCTCTTTCCGCGCGACAATGTCGTGCGTTATCTTCTTCTTTGCGCAAACTCATCGTCTTTAGCATCCGTCCATAAGGTAAAACGACTATGGAGCCACCTCTCAAGCGACAACGCGCTGATAGCGCCGAAACCGTGCCCTCGCATCCAACTCATAACGCGTCAGATGCAACACCAGCTCCAGCAGCCACATCATCTACAACGCATCCGACCATCCCGGCCGATGATCTATCACGTATGGTATATGCCCTCGATAAGGCATCGATAATCAACGAAGATCCGGAGAAATACGGCCACAACCTCCTCATCAAGCTTGCCGTCGAGGACCCCGCCATTACAGCCACGATCAAAGAAGCCCATGACGCCCACGTGGAAGAGGAGAAGAACCGGGTCGTTGAGTTTCAAGACGTTATTGATCAGCTTCGCAACTCTATCCCTAAATCAGATGAAACCATGAAACCCGAAAAGATACCTGTACGATCTTACCACGTTGAGAAGAGGTACAGAACCTGCATGTACCGAATCTGCGATCGAACATACGAATATTCGTCTTTCGGCACCAAGAAAAACGCTTTGGATGCGTGGAGGAATCTCCTCGTCTTGCTAGTCCAGATACCGGACAAAAGATTGCGGGCCGCAGTCATTGATCGTATCAATCTCGAAGAGGCGTGTAATTTCCTGTCCCATCCCTGGACTAGAGGCATGGAAGACATCGTACACTCCTTAACGCCAGCGCAGCGCGAAGAGGTGTGTTTTATGCCAGTGGATGGAGCGACGGTTACATATGATAAGTCTGGACGTTCGACAGGCGCATTCAAAGACAAGTTTACCGAGGTGACGAGAGAATTAGAAAAGGCGGACTGCCGTATCCAATGGGCTGCTTTTTGGGGGCCGTTGATGGTATGGCCGGTGGATCCCGAGATCGAGGAAATGAATGAACAGTATGAGATGGATATGGAGGGTGCCTACGAGGATGGTGATTACGATTGCTAGCAATCGACGTAAGGGCTTACAGATAATGAAACATTCTTAAGCTAAAATCCTAGAAGGCCTACTAGGAATCTTGCGGGACAGACCTATTGTTCGGATAACTTTGTTGCTAGCTCACCCCCTCACTCGTGAAGTTTATTTGGGTCGACCCCTCAATCTTGGTGCGCATGCCATCAGCACTAATTGTGATGACTTGCGAACACCTTCAATGAACGATGCAACACCGAAATACTCTTAACGTCGCTTCTACACACTGCAGCAAACATGGGGCGCACACTGAAGCGACGACGTCTACTTCCCGACAGCGATTCCTGTCCTTCAGACGACCTCTATTTTAGTGCAAGCCCGTCGCCAGAGGACACGCTCCCCCAGTATGACCTTGTTGCAGCCATTCAGATGCTCGATAATAAGCCCGGAAACACCTCGAAACGCAGCTACAGCCAGCGTCTACTCCTTCAGCTTGCTGAGGAGAATCCAGCCATCGCGACCAAGATCCGACGATCCCTACACAAGCATAAAGGCGTAGACATCAGCTTCCAGCCACATATCACCGGCGTCAACGGCATCAACGGCAGCATTCGCAGAGCTGCAAATAATGTCTTTCACGAAAACGAAGACTGGGCCTGCAGTAGCTTATACTGCGGCACATTTGGTATTATTAAGGAGATTGTCGATGAGGCAGGCAGATACACATCCTCGTTCGCGACCAAGGAATCAGCCCTGCGGACGTTGTTAAAGCTAGCCCAAGCTTTGTTGAACATCAAGGACGACACCTTGAAGGAATACGCACCGAGTTATCTCGCCTGCAACAAGAGCGGTTTCCAGAGAGCTGTAAGGCGTATCTTCTTCACTATGAGCCGAGCTGAGCGGAGGGAGATGATCAGAACGACGTGGGGCAAACTTACGCTGCTCCAGAAGATGGATGACCTGAGTGGGAAGTTGGATGCGGCTGGGTTCTTCACGGGTTTGGGTCGTGTTCTGGATCATGTGGAGACGTCTCTGGACCCCGATCTTTCGGAATTGATGAATGATGAACAACTTCTTGCTGATGAAGAGCGCGCGGATAGGGAGGCGGAGGACCCAGCCTGGCCTAGAGTATCTTTGGAAGAACGAGCCGCGAGAATGAGAGCTGCATGGCGTTTGGGGTCTAAGTGAGCTGCAGGGGTGTGAGCTTAAGGCGTGTGTGTGTGTGTGTGTGTGTG